TACCTCTGCCAAGGATAGGGGTATTGTCTAGGAAAGACAGAAAAACTTCCTTTCCATGACCAGGAGTCCGGATGTCTTCTGAGCTTTATTCAGGTATGAATTTCTCTATCATATTCAAGTATGCTTATCTTTAAACAAAAAGGGGGGAGATAATCTCAGGACTGATTGCAGAATCATTTAAGCATAATGAGTTCTTTGAAAATAGCATCTTATTAAAATATTACCTATAATGGCTTTAAAAAAATAATCCCTGGAGAGCGGAAAATGGTATTGGAACATCTATTAATGTTTACTCTTTAAAAGCATTTTTAACAAGGACCTCAAAATTACAGGTAATTCTTGTAGTTAACAGATAATTTAAGTTAGTAAAATTCCCATGGATTTGTTATAGAAACTCAATACCCTGCAAGTCACAAAAGAGGGGTAAGTAAAAATATAAACTTCCATTGGTCTCTGAATTGCTCTTCCAAGAAAAAGAGACCACTATAGATAGTTGCTTTCAGCATTTACAACTCAATGCGAAATTGTAGAGCTGAATAACTTTCCAATTTGACTTACTTTTCACAAAGTGGCTGTGAGTTAAGAATCATTAAACAACCACTTTTGCTTAGCAGGTAGCAAACAGGTTTTTTAATCCGGTGTTTGGGAAGATTATTTGATTCAGTTGCGGTTTCTGCGGAATTTAAAATGGAACAAAAAAATGAAGGACCATTTGTTTGGATGCATAGGTATTTTATATATATTTTGTTAGGAAAGGGAAAAAAAAGGTCAGGAGGAAATATTCAAAATGATAGACTTTGCAAAGAACTGCCTCTATCCGAGCATGTACGGGCTTTTCAAACAAAGGCTATGATCAGGCTTTGAGAGGAGTGAATCTGAATCCCAAGGAAACCAAATGATTTTCCCAAGGTCACTGGGCCCAGCAGAGCTATAGTTAGAGAAGGAGCTAGAGTGGCCCCAGTCAGCCATCTGCTTGAAGAAGTTTTCTGCTCTCCTCAAGTTACCCCAGGTCCCTCAAATCAGTTAGCTTACTAATAACTAGGAAAACTACTTTAGTTTACAAACAGTTGAAGGTGGAATAACTAAAGTCACCCTTTGAAACCAAGATATTGAAGCACTGACAAGGTCATATGGTGAAAGACAGGACAGTGCCAGAAAAATACAGGCTGTTAAGATGGCCCTGTGGGTGGCAGGGAGGCACAGCAGTAAAATGTGGTGCTTCTGTGAGGCAGACCCATGTGGGAGGGCTGTCGGCTCATGTCCAGAGGCCTCCCTGAGTATGCCCTGGGCATGCCTGTGCCCACCATCTGGACTGGCTGAGGCTGGGGGTGGATCATGTAGACATCAATACTCTGTCAGGGGTGCTGTCTGTCTCTCTCTCACTAGTGGAATAAATAAATAACTTTAAAAAGACATAGCCCCATGCTCCAAATAATAAACTCACTGTGAAACTCTTTTTTTATTTTTTTCCTTTTAAGATGGAGAGAGAGAAATAGGGATTTTGACAAAGACTCGCATGTCATGATCCTTCTGCCTTAGCCTCTCGATTAGCTAGAACCATCTAGAACATTTAAGTGTGCGCAACTGTGCCAAGTGTGTTCAGATTGGCTGAGAACCAATCCTGGGCCACCCATGTGGTTTCCAGCTTCCCTGGGGGCAGCACTGTGTACCACCCTGATCATGAAGACCTTCTGCAGTAAAAAGTATAAACGGTATTCAAGTTTTCTTTTCCACTTGGAGTTGCCAGAGAATTATGAGCAATAATAAAATTCTCAGGAAGTAATTTAAACTTGACATGGAAAGTGCATCATAGGTAAGTTTTGTATCATAAATAGGAAGATTTTGCTACTACTGATTAACAGCTGTGAGCAAGGGAGTGTGGAGTTAGGTGAAAAGGAATTGTACCTGTTGAAAGATAGTGAAAACCAGAGCTTTGATTTCCATTCAAGAGAAATTCTATGCTCTCTGAAGAGAATTTATGGAGAACTAGATGCCCTATATGTTTCCAGCTCATTCAAGAATTGAAGGGCTCATGAAAAGGGCTAGTGAGTATGGTGGTCCCAAGACAAGCACTGGCTTCAGGTACAGAAAGTGGGGACATGATCTCTGCCCAACATCAAGTGAAGGCAAAGGTTCAGTTACTTCTTATGCTTTTTGGGGGGTGCTGTTAACATTATTGCAAAGATCATGCTCTAATGCTGACGGTGTGGTGTGAGCTTCCTGGTGCTGCTGGTTGTTGCAGTCTGTCTTTAGAGCTATTGGATTTAGAAGCCTGTTCATGACTCAATCACCAAATTGATTCAGGAACCATCACCCTCCTCCCACAAAAGGGTTAAAAAGACTATGGATGTGGTAAACCACAGAATATCTATTTATAGCATCAATACCCCTTTGATTACATTGTAAGGGCTATCTAGTAGAGACTCTAAAAAGAGAGCAGACTTCACATACATATTTCAGGAGAGGGCCATCCCCTGGAAAGTTAGCAATGAAGTTTGCTTCAAAATCATTGTAATGTAGCAATGCTATTTGGGACATATTGAAACAAAAGTATGTGGTTCAGGAGCAAAATTCTAGATGGAAATTTAAATAATGTGGAGGTTGGTGTGAAGAAAGAGAAAAATTAATTTAATTCCATTTGCCGATGTGACTGGAGCACAACTATTTTTAGGTATAATCCAAACAGTGCATATCTTCTCCATTTTGATTAGTAGAAAATTGGCAGGGAGTCAAAAGAATTAGTATTTCTCAGCACATGATGTCAGAAACGTACAAATAAAACTGCATTATCTGTGCCAATGTATTTCATTTGAACTGCTGCTAAGGTTTTTTCTTAAAAAAAGAGAAAGGGTTCAACTCTGTTAAAAACATTGAAAAGATATTTCACAACTGGCAGCAAAAGTTATAGGATAATTTTTCTTTAGACTCTTGCTTAGAAGCTTTTGCTAAAATCTGAAATCTTAATATTACCCAGATACTCTAGGTGCAGAATTTCCGCCAGGCAACTTTACATATTGCCAGAGGAAGTCAGCACATTCAACAAAATGTGAAATTAAAATAAGCTAGGAAAATGTGCTTAACAAGGAAAGGTTTCACAATAGCCACTTAGAAGTTATTAATAATTTCAGTTCCAAAGAAAGCAAGGACCAAAAAAAAAAAAAAAAAAAGAAAGAAAGAAAAAAAAAA